TGGGTACATCGCGTTCACAGGTGATGGTTCGCGACCGCGAAACGGCTGAGAGATGGGGACTTCCTTCTTTGATTTTGCGTAGTTATGGAAGCATTCGCATAGTGTTGGTGCCTATTTTCACCGCGTTCATTTCTGTGCATCGCGATCACATGAGTGCAACCACGATCATGTAGGGTACCACTGGACAGAGCACATAAGTAGTCTATTTTAGGCCTTTGAGTTATTTTATCACATTTTGAGTTGGGAGCTTGAATTTGGGCAATTTTGGAGGCGATTTTCACCAGAAGGGATGGGTTAGTGTTCTCTACTTAGTTTTGATTATATTTCATAAATCTATATTCGATTTTTGGCATTTGGATTATGATTTTTAAAGAGAAATTGGGGTTTTTTGTCTAAACTTTCCTAAAGTGAATTTTTGGGTTTTGAACATCGATTCGGAGTCAGATTTGAATGAAATTAGTAAGGTTGGACATCGTAATTGAATGATGTTGTTGGATTGTGTGAGTTTTGTTGGTTTTCGAGGTACGAGTCTGAGTTTGAACTTTTGGTTAACTTTGAGTAAATGTGTAAAGATTCGACCTTTATCGATTGGATTTGCTTTCTATGGCATTATTTGATGATCTTGAGTTTCTTTTGGCTAGTTTTGAGCTGTTCAGAAGATGATTTGAGCGGGATGACACTTCTAGTGTATCGATTTGGCTTGTTTGAGGTAAGTATCTTGCCTAACTTTATTGGAGAATTTTTTTCTACTAATTGATATTGTTTGATACATGCGGGAGTGATACATATATGAGGTTACGAGTGTACATGCATGTGCCAGGGTTAATCATGCTCAGGGGTAAATCATACGATTAATTATGCCTTGTTGAATTATGTGACCTTCTTGTTTCATGTCTTACTTGACTTCTAGATTACTAAGAATATGAAATTAAATGCTATAAATCAAGATTTAGGTTATTATAACTTGATTAATATTTGACGATTTTTGTGAAACTATTGATGTGCTAAATTCGGTCATCACTATGCTTATTCACTAATACATCGCTACGACCGTTATTCTTGAGATATTGGATTCTATACTTGAGTTGAAGATTATTTTTGAGACTTGTTGAAATACTTGAACAATAAGGTTCTTGAGGTTTATTGAATTGTCATTGGCTTGAAAGCAGTGATTGATGTTCATTTGGAATGTTCGCTTAATCATTCTCCTTGATGTTATTCATGGTTCCTACCCTGCTCGTTGTTGATATACATGTGCTTGGTGAGGAAGAGTATAAAGTACGAAGTATGATTCCGTGCCATTGCATATAAATTATCATGTGAGAAAAAGTGTAAAGCACGAAGGGTGATGCCGTACCATTTCATTTACATTATCATGTGAGGATAAGGGTAAAAGCATGAAAGGTAATATTGTGCCATTTCATTTACAATATCATGTGAGGATGAGAGTAAAAGTACGAAGGGTGATGACATGCCACTTCATTTACATTATCATGTGAGGATGAGAGTAAAAGCATCAAGGGTGATGGCATACCATTTCATTTACATTACCATTATTTTTATATTATCACGTGTTTATGGCACAAAGGTAGTTTTCGTGTAGGAGATGATGAGAGACATGAAATATATTGTGATATCTTTTCTTTGTGTATATATTCACGCCTTTATCTTGAGCTGTTAATATTGCATCTATGTTTTCTATCTGACCTGTCGTTGTTGTTCTGTCTCTGTCCTCTATCTCAATTGTTGTTGTGTTGTCCATGCCTTCTATTTGTGTAACTTGCAAATATCATACTTTCCTTCTTGTTTGTCATATCTATATCTAGGTCATTTCTCATTCGTTGTACTTTCGTATAAGCCTTTTACAATGTTAGTTATTCATGCCTTCTATTTGTTTAACTTAAAAATATCATATTTTTCTTCATGTTTGTTATATCTACATCTAGGACTTCTACCATGTTAGCTAGTGAAATTTATGTTCCTCTATCTTATATGCTATCATTACTTCTATGCATTCCATCTAGTCTGTTACTGTTGCCCATAAGAACTATGTTGTTCATTATTGTTACTTGTGTATCTCCCACTTTATCGTTATTGTTATCGGCATTTTTATCACCTAGTTGTTACTGTCGTGTCAATTGATTTGATATCGTGAGTAAATTTCTCACACTATGAAAGTTATGAAATTTCTACCGTGGTTTGGTGGTTATCGCTTTAAGGAAAGAATTTGTCGTGACATTAAGGAATATTGACCGTGATTTCTTCTGGTGAATCTTTTACTGCTTCGCATATTTGTTCTTGTACTATTCTCTGTCATATTTTAGCATTGTTCTATTGTTAGTCTACTAAATATGTTATATCAGTAAGTATCATTTAAATAAAAAGCATCGTCACTACTTCACCGAGGTTAGTCAATACTTATTGAGTACATGGGGTCAGTTGTACTCATACTACACTTCTGAACCTTGCGTACAGATTTTGAAGGTGGAGTCACTGTGTATGGTGGGAGCTGGCATTGAAGATGTAGATGCATTCCGGTTAAAGCTTCCACTTGTCCTTGGTAGCTTTAGATTTTTCTAATCTATTTATGTAAACTTCAAACAAATAATGTATTTATCCGTACCAACAAGGTGGCTCCATAGGACTTAGACTAGGCTCGGGGAATTAAATGACTATATCTTACTTAGTTAGTACTTAAAAGTGCGTGGCTTACTCTATGTCATGTTTAATACTTATAACTTTTGTAAGAAATATAGTATATACGTTTGGAAAGGGAGTATAGGTTTCATTTATAAAAGCCCTTTTAAAATGCCTCCATTTATATAATTGAAAAAACTTTGGAAAGTATATTTATATTTGCAAACTTTGTAAATATAGCTTAGGTTTTAAATACTTTACCTTTAAAATGGCTATTTGTATAACTTTAGTAAGGTAAAGGCTATTAGAGAAGTGGGGTTCGATGTACCTTTAATGATCGGCCTTTAATGATCGGTTTAAATCTTGTACCAATTTTTAGAAGAAAGATTCATTGAGGTATCCTTGGTGCAACTGCGTTTAATTTCCTAGAAAAACTAGACTTTTGAAATCGTTTTTAATTCCAGCTTTTAAAGGGAATGTTGCTCACTTTTGAATATGTTTTACACTGAGAAAAGAACTTAAAGAAAGTGGTTAGCATGAGTGAGGATGAAAATTATATGCAGAAATAACTAAGTATGTTTGAAGTTATTATCTAATATAGGGGCAGTAATTCTTCTAGTTTTACCTATGTTTTTAGGCTTGCCTAGGTTTCCTAAAGTATTTCAAAGAGTTAAAATTTATTATTCACTCAAATATTTATCAGTGTTGTATATATATGATACTAACAGCATGCAAAAAAAAAAACGATAAAGGAGGGAACAAAACTCATTAGATTGGGCCTGAAGAAGGTTAGGTCCAGCGAACAGCAAACGAGCGGCAACAACTTCCATGAATTTGGACTGAAGGGCTAGAGCTTGGGCCTGAGTTCTTGGGAACTCAACAGGCCCAGTTGGTTACATGTACAAAAGAGAAAGGCAAAAATTAGTGACAAAGCCCAACATAATAATTATACAGATAAGATCAACATAAGACCCAAATGAAGTTGCAACAATTGCTTGCGATTAAGAATGCAATAAGATTAATGTAATGTCAGAATAGAGTAAGGAAATTTATGGTGAAGCCTTTCTTTCATTTAATACTAACCCTAAAGAGATTAATAAATGTCAATAATTAAGAGCTTAAGGTAAAATTTTATTTATGGCCAAGATACCTTTTGGATTCATAGAACTTCAGAGTTCACAAGGGTCTCAGAGACCCCTAGCACTACTTGATTCAGGGAGGGTATCTCAACCATAAACTGAATCTTACTCCAAAATACCCTTAACCATTTACACTTATTCTTCCCTATAGGTTTAAATACCAATGAGGCATACACTGTAATTTTCAATATAGCAGTAACAATAATACAATGGTTCAGGCATGCGCTCTTCTAATAGAAACTATACAGAATGTTACTATGAACATGTGATAACAGATAACACCAGGAAGATCACAATCCAAACACAAGTGTGTTGTTCACTTTCAAGAAGAAACCAATCACATGTGCAGTTAAAGGAAGAGAACAATAGCAAGTTATTTCAAAAGTTCAAACAATTAAGTCATGTAACTTAAGAAGAAGGGGAGATACATAGTTAAAGTTTATAGAGGTCCTCAACCTAAACAACCTATGTTTAAGTTAGTCAGGGGTTCATACATAGACTAAGTCTTAATTTCTAGTAGAGATATGAGTTAACAGCTTCATATGAAATCTCTAAAGAGCATCTGCAGTGGTATTTAAGCAAGCGAGTTGGTCTCAACTTAACAGATGATCACCTCCTACTTAAAAGGTTCCTAATCTCATATTCACACTTAGAATTAAGGCATAATATTATACTCAAAAAGAGCATATAACATTAGAAGGCTCATCTTAAGTCTATTAGTCAATCGCATTCGACTTTTAGAGGCTTAGCAAGATGTAATTTCCCTTATGTAACAGTGCGGCATCAGAACATAGGCATCAATATGAGAGATACGCAGGGAGTTTGTTTAAGAACATGATAGAGTACAGAAAGCCAAAGAGAAGATGTACATACACACTGTCATGAGCGGCTTTCCAGCCATTCCCCATGACCCCTTGAACGCGCTCCGTGGCATTATTTGGAACTTCACACATATTTGGAGTCGTACCATCACAAAGATAGTGTGCTGCACGCATACTAGTGCAGCAGCAGAATGCAGCACGGCAAACCATTTAGGTATACATAACCCTTTTAAAGGCATTTTGAAGAAATAGTGACCCCATTATCACATTAACAGAGGCAAGCAAATAAATGCAGAAAACGCTGGGCAGAGAACTACAAGTTTTGAATTTATAACTTACAGTAAAAATTTGAAGGAAAGAAACACCTACCACACTGTCTACGGAAACACCCAATATTTCTGTGTTCAACTTTTCAAATTCTCCATAACGGTCACTGAAAGCAGTGATCTCTACAGAAGCAGGAAAAGATATTACATCAAAATAATACAGTCAGCAACCACAATATTCAGTTCAAATTTATTAGAAGAAAGTGAAATTGACAGCAGAGAGATTTCAGGTGCCAAACTGACCTGTTGGGCAAACAAATGTAAAGTCTAGTGGGTAGAAAAAGAGAATGACGTACTTCTTCCCAATGTACTCAGATAGTTTAACCTGCAGAAAAAGGATAACTGTAGTTGTAAGCAGCAAATACAATCCATAAATGTGTAAAACCATGTCTTACAGTTCCTAAAAGGGGCAGGTAGTGAAGTGAAATCCTAGGGCAATAGCAGATGTTGCATGTTAAGGTAGTACTAAACTCTTTTCTTTCTATGTTCTCATTCTGTCACTAGCTGCAATCAAATGGGTTTGCAAAAAATGTAGACTCCTCAAGGTTTCTAATTTATGAATGGTGTTTATTCTTAGCTGACAAGGTACACCATTTGCTACATCAACTAATTTAGAATTGACTGATTGACTAATGTTTATTATTTTGGTCTAATTACAGGAACCTCACCAGATATTTAGGCTTGCAACACTTACCACCTATGTGGTTTTAGATATTACTTTTAAATTCCTTATTTTACATTCTTCCAATAAAACTCTATAAAATAGCAAGCAGTAAGCCGCAATAAAATAGTAGGCAAAGAGACAAAACTACTTAATATTTAAACATATTCATATTTCATGGATGACCTTTCACCTTTATACAAAAAATCTAAGGTTCTTCTGATTCTAGTGAAAATTGAAGAAAAAATTAGAAGAAACAAAACTTTACAAAACAAGTTGTTAATTATTGAAAAATATAGTGATAATATCAAAATATATGATTTTATTGTATATAGACAAGAGCCGTACATTAAATCTTTATACAAAAAGTTAAATATACCATTCATGTTTTGAAATCTAAAGTTAAGCACACTTTTCTCAATAAGAATTAAGCATTTTTCTCCAATTATAGGTAAGCAATAAAAACACCAATATAATACCTTGATGAATTCTTGATCAAAAACAGCTTCAGCCTCAAAGTCTGGCGCTTGATTTCCAACAAGTGGAAGTTCACTCTATATATGAAAAACATATATGAAAGGACATTAGATACATGAATCTTGATCCATACACAAGCACAAACACAGCAGAGAGGTTATATCAACATTCTATGATGGCGCAAGCTCTTATCTACATAGAGTAGAAGTAGCAAGTTTTGGGACGATTGGGAAATCGAGAATCTTGAACAGAAACTTTCTTTTATTTCACTTGGTCATCTAATTTAACTTCTCTAACATCTTCTAGATAGTCATGCCCAATATTAGTTTTCCTTTATATCCGGTTGCAAGAGGTACCCATAAGTTTTAATTAAAATCACTGTCATCCAATCCATCAATTCCTTTAGGCAAAGTATGGAGCAGACAACATACTGTAATGAGTTTATCCCAAATATGAACTCAAGCTTACCACTCTACCATTACCAAGTTAGGTACAAGTGAGCATATAAATTTGAATTCACTTTCCATTAAAACACAGTCCATAAATACAATTTACATTGCCTTATAATTCAAAGGAGAAAATGATAAAAATGATTCCTTATGTTTGGGGATAGGTTCAAAGTGATCCCTTAAATATACCTTGAGCAGCGGCAGGCCTCACAACGCCCATTGTCACAGTCGGCCCCGTGGTCTCGGCAGCTCCAAGTAACAAACACGCATGTGCCTCTGTCGCCCCACCGATAGCCATCGCCAGTGCCCAGCCACAGGCATATGCCAACAGCATCGCGCGCGCAGACCCTGATGCTAAAGACAAAGTTACTGCCAACGGACTTGTTTCTGCTTTGTAGAAGACTAAGTCTTTTTCATTGTAAATATAGAGTAGTTTTATTGTATTTTCTTTAAGTGTGATTTTTCAGTTTTCATAGGTCTAGTCATGTAACTTTGGTTTATATTTTTAAGCATTATTAAGGGGGACCAAGCAATCAAACTTTCAAGCAAGCAAACAATTCTCTCCCCCCGATACCGTGTTGGTTTTTTGTAATAGCTTTCATTCAATGCAATCAAGCGTCCTTTCATTCTCAATTCTCTTTTCTGCTCTCTCTCTTAATTGATCACGATATTGGTTTTCCTGTACGGCAATGACAATCTAGTCTAGCGTACGGAGGGGACCTCAGTTGACGGACATCAATCGCACTAACATCGGTTACTTAGCCTTACGTCGCCCTTCCAAGGAACTTCAGGAAAGTGCCGCGTAATAGTTGGTATCAGAGCCTAGGCTCGACATCGGTCGAGGGATTATATTGCAATTACCACCATTTCTGACCATGGTGAATTATGGGGATCGCATCGCGACCCTTGAGGGAACGGTTGACGCATTACGGCCCATCGTGAAAATGGTACATGACCTAAAGACCAGCCTAGTGCAAAGGTTGGACGACTTGGACTATAGACTGATCCAGGCCGAAGTTGACATAGAAAACATCAGTCGCGACTCTGAAGGAGACCAGCAAATGGCAGCCACAAAGGCAGTCAAAATTTTTGGTAAATTCGAGGTCCTCCAATAGGAGCGCGCCGAGGATTTATCCAACAGGGCACAAAAGGTAGACAGGGTGACTGCCATGCAAAAAAACTATAGATAACGTGACAGGCCAGCTCAACGTTGTCAATGCTTCTTTACAAGGCCTGCTTCGAGGAGGTGGAAACCAAATCGGGGGTATTGTGAACCACACCCTTGTGGCCCAAAAACTGAAAATTCCTGAGCCAAAGCCATATAGTGGAGCTCAGAATGCCAAAAAGTGGAAAACTTCATCTTCGACATCGAACAATACTTTGATGTCGTGGGGGGCCTAGAAGAAGCTAAGAAGGTAGCAACTACTGCTATGTATCTTCAGGGTGATGCCAAACTCTGGTGGCGGGTGAAATACGAAGCCATCAAGGCTGGTGAAGATGCCCTCGAGACATGGGCAGAACTGAAGGCAGCCATACGCCTACAGTTCTTCCCCGAAAATATTGAGTACAATGCTAGGAGAAAGCTATGGGAGCTCCGCCAGACAAAATCAGTGCGGGATTACGTGCGGGAATTCTCTGCGCTCATGCTGAACATCTGCGACATGGGGGATAAAGACAAACTCTTCACTTTCCTGGAAGGGTTGAAACCTTATGCCCGTATGGAGTTGCAAAGACAAAGGGTAGACACGCTACCTAAGGCAATCCAAGAAGCAGAGTACCTTAGGGATTATCAAGTGGAAGCCCAGAAGGACAGGCCTCAACAGCCTGTCCGAGGAGAATACAAAGGAGGTCAGCCGAACATTGGTAGCCCTAGTAGAAGTGGAGGAGACCAGAGTGCAACCAAATCTAAGGCTCCTTCCTCAGGCAGTACTAGCGCTGCATCTAACAACAATGATCGGGGGAGGAAACCCTTCTCAGGATGCCGTCATTGCGGCAGACCACATTGGAATAATGAATGCCCACATGCACAAATGAACGCCCATCAAGCTTTTGAGGATGGGACGGATGACGATGCCGATGATGCGGACCAAACCGAACCAGTAGGTGCATTTAATGTCATTGTTGGCTCTATTTCTGAACCTCTAGCGGGAACCAATGCTAGTATCCATAAGAAGAAGGACCCCTGTCCAATCTCCAAGAAAGGGAAAAAGAAGGTGAACGAGAGGACTCCTCCTCATCAAGAGAGGACCTTAATGTTCATTGGCATGAAGGTAAATGGGAAGCCCATTCGGGTGATGATAGACACGGGTGCTACCCACAACTACTTAGCCTCGACTCAGGTGGAGCGACTTGGCCTAGTTGTAGGAAAGGGCAAAGGTCGTGTCAAAGCTATCAACTCACCACCTCAGCCAGTGGGTGGAATGGCCAAAGAAGTACCGGTGAAACTTGGCCCTTATGAAGGAAAGTTCAACCTGCGCGTGGTGATCATAGATGACTTCGAGTTGATAGTGGGGATGGAATTCCTGAGACAAACCAATACCATGCTCGCATCGTATGCAGACTTGCTACTGATGATGGGAGAAAATGGGGCCAAGCCCTGCATTATTCCGTGCATTACCATGAAGATGGCCGCCGAGAACATCTCAGCCTTGCAGTTGAAGAAGGGGGTAAAAAGACATGAACCCACGTTCCTGGCTACCCTCTGCATGGAAGATATAGAACGCTCCTCGGGTCCCATTCCTGCACCCGTGAAGGAGTTGCTTCTAGAATTTGAAGACATCATGCCACAAGACATGCCAAAGCATCTTCCGCCTAGGCGAACTATGGACCATGAGATTGAGTTGGTGCCGGGTGCGAAGCGACCTGCCCGGGCGCCGTACAAAATGTCACAACCCGAACTCACCGAACTTCGGAGACAATTGACGGAAATGCTAGACACAGGGATCATCGTGCCCTCCAAGTCCCCATATGGGTCCCCTGTGCTATTCCAAAAGAAACATGAAGGTAGTTTACGACTCTGCGTGGATTACCGGGCTCTAAACAAAATCCCTGTGAAAAACAAGTACCCTATTCCGCTAATGGCAGACTTGTTTGATAGACTGGGTAGTGCGACGGTATTCACCAAAATAGACCTGAGGACAGGTTCTTGGCAAGTTCAGATTGCAAAGGGTGATGAGCACAAGATGACCTGTGTGACAAGATATGGGTCATACGACTTCCAGGTTATGCCCTTTGGCTTGACTAATGCGCCAGCCACATTTTTCACCTTGATGAACCAACTCTTCCTAGAATACATTGATGAATTCGCCGTGGTTTATTTGGATGACATTGTGGTACATAGCCAGACACTGGAAGAACACCTGGAGCACTTGCAGAAGGTCCTAGCCCGATTGCGGGAGCACGAATTATATGCGAAGCTATCCAAGTGCTACTTTTCTCAGAAACAAATTGACTTCCTCGGACATTTCATCGAGGAAGGGCGGATCAAGATGGACCAATAGAAGATTCAGGCTATCACAAAATGGCCACCTCCTAAGGATATCCACTCCTTGAGGTAGTTCCTTGGCATATGCAACTTCTATCGGCGTTTTGTGAAAAAGTTACTCCCTCATTGCGGTGCCGCTGATAGAACTTCTCAAGAAGGTCACGCCATGGGATTGGGGCCCCAAGCGAGTAGAGGCCTTCAACGCATTGAAAATGGCTATGTCTAGTAGCCCAGTCTTGGCCCTCCCTGACTTGGCCAAGCCATTCAAAGTACAAACGGATGCCTCCGAATATGCACTTGGTGGAGTATTGCTACAAGAAGGGCATCCCGTAGCGTACGAGAGTCGGAAACTAAAGGATGCAGAGCGGCGATATGCCGCCCATGAGAAAGAATTATTGGCTGTTGTTCATTGCTTACGCCTTTGGAGGCATTATCAACTAGGAGCCCCATTTGTGGTCAAGACAGACAACACAGCCGTTAGCCATTTCATGACCCAGCCAAAGCTGAATGGTCGACAGGCTATATGGCAGAAACTCCTAGCGGAATTTCACTTCAACCTGGAGTACCGAAGTGGGAAGACCAATCATGTTGCTGATGCGCTCAGTCGGAGAGCTAATCTAGCATCGGTGTGTATACTTGCCACCCTAAGGGGAAGAGAAGTAACCACCACCATAAAAGACCAGATACAGGACCTACTCATCAAGGATCCTGCTGCACAGTATTTGGTTGATTTGGTAGGACAGGGCAAGACTCGCCAGTTCTACACCGAAGATGGTTTCCAGAAAATGAAAGGGAACCGACTTTATGTTCCTAAAGGAGGAGATCTGCGAAGGGTTCTTCTGGCAAAATGCCACGATACTTTGTGGTCTGGTCATCCCGGTGAGGAACGCACCATGGCATTGCTTCGCCGTGCATATTATTGGCCTCAAATGGTCGATGGCGTCGCTCAGTATGTGAAGACTTATCTAGTATGCCAGAAGGATAAGTTAGACCTCTTGACGCAGGCAGGGCTCTTGGAACCACTAGCTATCCCAAAAAGACCTTGGGAAGCGTTTCCCTAGACTTCATCACCGGATTGCCCAATGTCGGAGATCTCACAACTATCTTGGTTGTGGTGGATCGATTTTCCAAGTATGATACCTTTATAGCAGCCCCACAATATATATCAGCATACGATATATCTCGACTCTTCTTCTCTCATGTCATCAAATATTGGGGCCTACCTAAAGACATTGTTAGTGATCGCGACTCACGCTTCACTAGCAATTTTTGGATCCAACTCTTTAAGTGTCTCGGGGCAAAATTGAGTCATAGCTCAAGTTTTCATCCGCAATCAGATGGCCAAACGGAGCGATTCAATTGCATGCTAGAGGAATATCTCCGGCACTTTGTGACCGGATCGTAGAAGAACTGGGTGAAGCTTCTGGATGCTGCTCAACTGTGTTTCAATTCACAAAAGAACTCAAGTACCAACAAATGCGCTTTTGAAATTGTTACCGGACAGCAACTGCTACTCCCACACACTGTGAACGCACCAAACATGTCAAAATCTCCTCGGGCTGCTAGCTTCTC